GGGCTGGAGTGTGAGCCCCTCATTGGGGGGTGTTAGACTGGAGACCCCAGAGTGTCCCCAGGGCTGGAGAGGTGTCACCACCTTCTGCTTCAGATGGTGGTTCTGGGGGGACCTCGGCTCCCTGGGGCTCTTCCTGCAGCCAGARAACTCATAGGGACCCTCCTCCAGGTGGCTCCTACAGCTGTTCCTGGAGCTTGGGGCTCATGGTGAAGCTCTTCCCATAGTCTGGGCATCCATAGGGTCTCCACCGTGTGGATTCCCTGGTGCCTGAAGAGATTTGGGCTCCTATCAAACCTTTTCCTGCACTCCTGGCCCATGCCGGGCCTTTAGCCCATGAGATGGGACCTCTGGCCAAGGCTTGGGCAGACACAGCACTTCTCCCCCACTTGGATCCTGCGCTGGGAGATCAGCTCTGTGCTCCGGCCAAAGCTCTTCCCACAGGAGATCACTCTCATGTCATGATGGCAAATTTGGGGTTCCCACACCCCTCCCTCCCACTTCATTTGGAGATCCCAATACCCCATTCTCCACTCCTCCACCCTTTTCCCATCATCCTTGATCCTCATCCACCAACCAACCCCATCAAGCTGAATGACCCCACTCCATTTTTCCTTCCTCTTCTTCCCTTGCCCCTCCTTTCTCATCTTCCCCCAAAGCCTCAGAGCCCCAAGTGCTTGGTTTGGGGCTCACAGTTCTGTGTCCCACTCAGTTTGAGGAGTGCGACCACACTTTCCTGACAATAAGAGAGAGGCCTAAAAAAATGCTTATCCATTGTATCTACCCATCATTATCACACTTAAATGACTGAAGACTACGTGCAGCATGGACTGTGAAAATCCCGCCTTGAGGCCCAGAAAAAGGAAGGCACAACTGGTGCAAAGTGTGGAGGGGAAAGTGAAGGGCACAATCCCTGGCCTTTGCCTTCCCCACCCCCACCACCATCGCCTGCTGCCCTAAGGACACCCCAAGGCCTCCCGGAGCCGACGGTGCCGCTGGAGGGAACCCCCCGATCCTGCAGCCGTGCACCCAAATCACGAGTGAGCTGTGGAACCCCTACCCCTGATCCTGCCTTCCGTGATGGGGGCACTGCCAGTTCCCCGAAAGTTTGGCTGCCCAGACCAGGCACAGCGCCTGCATTTCGGAGGATGGGCTACCGCATTCCAACCAAACTGCCCTGAGATCGGAGCAGGAGCAGGAAGATAAGAGATTGAAAGAGCAGAAAAAGGGAGGCACAAAACACTTTGCTTCCCTTCCCCCCCACAGCAGTAAAGCTAGCAACAGTGTGGTAGTGAACTATCCTATGTTTTTTAATGTAACCTTGGCTTTTCTTTCTGACTTTTCTCAGTTTTTCCCTTTCTTTCGCCTTGCTTCTCTTATTAAATAAAAAGTGCATCATTTTTTTGGCATCAACATTAAATCTCGTTTGGTTTTTTTTCTCAGTTTTGGTAATATTTTAAACCTATTTTGTGTTCAATCCACTTTTTTCACAGAGACTTAGTTTCCTCTGCTCTTCCGTGATTAAATTGGATCATAACATTTTATTGGCATCATGGACAGGGTTCTATTAAAACAAGTATTGATTCCAAAAAATTTATGAATTACTGATTTTCATGACCCATCATTTTCTTTATGTGTTTGTTTGTCTGTCTGTTTTTTGAGTAGAGTGCACAATGGAACTTTGAGAATTATAACTTTGTTAAACACTAGGTGCTCTTGAGGAATAAAGAATTGGACCTTGCAAAATTTTTTATAAGGGACACCCCTCGAGAGAGACCACTCCAGTGTTAAGAGGTACCTTGCTAGGGAGAGGAGTGACACCTTTGTAAATCAGCTGTAACTTTTATGGGGGCAACCTCTGGGAATGATCACTCCAACATCTGTAGCAACATGAAACTTAATACACAAGCTTTATTCACTCTGTTACATGAATTTGGTGCCAGGCCATCTCCTCCAGGGATGGACTGGGCACAAGTTAATTTGTAGAATATGCCAGTAAATGTTGATCAACTTTCTGTCCTGTGGGCAGGAACAAGACTCAAAAATGGTAAAGGAAAACCAGTGGTTTGTTCTGTCCTAGGTGCTGCTGTGTTTGCCACAGTAGAACAGAGAGCAGCAGCAGAAAGCTGATCTGGAAATTATTGCTTCATTGCAAGATTTGGTTAAAGCATTGCAATTACAGCTGGAGGAGCAAAGGGCTAACACCCACCTGCTCCAAGAAGTGATAAGGAATGAAAGGGCTACTGCCCGTGTGCTCTGAGAGGAGCTGTGTCTGAGATTAACAAACAAAGCAAAGGAGTCAGAGTTGGAGCTATCTAAAGAAACATACCCCCTCTCTGACTTAGAATCTTTGCACCATCAATCAGAAAAACCAGTCTCAGTCTGACCCTTAATTAAAACAGAATGCATATATGAGGGTTCAGATGAGATAAGATAACACCCTAAATAACCACAAAATAAATCCCCTATATGGCTACTGAATTGGTCAAACTAAAAAAAGACTATAGTCAAAGCCCCAAAGAATCTGAAACTGAGTACATTTGGACAGTCTCTCTCACAGGGGATGAGCAAATTCTGTTACCAGAAAAAGAGGCAGAAGGGTACTGAGGGGTGGGGGTCTTCCCTACCACAGGGGATAACTATGCTCCTTGGTCACTCACCCAGAGAGCAGCTCACTGGGTTGGTGGACTCAATCCTTTAGAAAGAGGAGATCCCCTGGCTATGGTGGAGAGTGTTAATCAGATTGTAGAATGCGTACAGAAAGCTGCTTGTTTACAAATGATGCATGATAGCAAATGAACACCACGGTGTGAATCTCCTGTGATGTTGCTGGTGGATCCTGAGACAATGATACCCTATATCAGAGGCCTCCCTGAAGTTATGAAACCCATGGGCATCCAGCTAAAAGGACAAAGAGAAAGTCTCCCAAAAGCAGACAGAGTTGCAGCCACCTTGGAGGCAGCTATTTCCCTCAGCCATAACTGGGGAAAAGGTAAGGTTTGGACCTGGGGGGAGGTGGCACCAAAAAGAATTAATTATGGAAGAAAGTATGGTCACATTTCTTCAAATACAACTGATTCAAATCAGTTCGGCACACAGGGCACAAAAACACATTCCCAGCAAAACTCTGAAAGGTAATGTTCTCCCCTAAGCTGGGAGGAGGACCAATCATAGGGGAAGAACACAGTAAAAGAAACGTCCTGTGGATTGAGGGTTTACCAAAAGGAATTCCAAAGACTTTAATGGATGGCCAGCCCACTAATAAATTACAAGTATTAATCCAAAAATGGCCAACGAAGGAGGACTCATTAAAAGCTGTCCCGGATACAGCCCTGCCCCTGGAGGGACCACAAAAAAGGGAGATGATGAAAAACCCTTCTCTTCATCTGCAGGAG